TGGAAAGCTACCATACTAATTTTGTTATGGAAGAGCTGTACATGTACTTAAAACATTTTTATTGGTATTTAAATGAAAGGGTTCCCTGGTAGGGGCCAGCATGTGAGTGTTCTCAGCTCCTAACTGTGCAGTCTATGTGGCAACAAAATGGGATACCTAGCTAAAGTAGTTAGAATGAGGGAGCTTCCATAGCTATTTCCCTGAGTGGACAATGGCCTGTGTGGACATCAGCATCGTGTGTGGGCATTATCCTTCTGTGGACGTCATCTGAGGTGGCCCCTGTCCTGCATGGATGTCCCCGTGGGAACACTCTCTCTTATCCTGTGTGGATAACCCCCTGCATGTGTGGCTTAAACAACCGGGTACCACTAAAACTGATATACGGCTGTAAAGGTACCCACCTGTGACTCCCAGCTCAGGGATATCATGATTTCGACCCACGGCGTATACAGCTAAGTGCAGCGAAACAGAACATTAGAGGACCACTCACCTTGTTATTTTCCAGTATCGTAGTGGTTCATGTTTTGACTCGCCGAGCCTTCGGAATCTTTGAAAGTAAAATCTTGTGGTCATTTTGACATCACTTTTGTGGAAATCCGACTTAATGTTCTTGGACTGTGGCAAATTGTCCGATACAGCCCAATTGTATACTATTTACCGACTTGCTTGATGTAGGGGTGATGTCACGTGGGATTGCATCGATTCAAGGACAGTAACAAAACCCACGGGTGAGACTGAGGTGAAACTTAAACTGATAAAGAGTGTTTTTCAATGTTTAGAAAGATTTATAATGAAACAACCGAGTCCTATGGGAGAGAAATCCCCCAGGTTGTGATGAAAAAAAAGTCGACAGCTTTAGAGTTGGGGGACCAAGAGCGACTGCTTTTAAGGATCTTCCCGACCGAAAAAGATGTCGAGTTTAAAAGCAAACATTAATATCTGCCAGTGATATAAACCAGGGTTTATGTTTATTCAGAACTTATTGCATTGCAGGTATATAGCTGGAAATTTTGCCAAGTTGACGATATTGTCATTTAAAGTAGGCCTACTTAATTACTTGTTGTAACACTTGATAAGAATCTTTTTTTCTTTTATTGTACACGAACAATCTAGACATCACACAGCAGCACATTTGACAAAGAGGGTGCACATACAACACTAGAATGCGTATTACAGCACGTATATTCATGTTAATTTGATGTCTTCTTTTTTAGCCAGAAGGTAGTCGTTTTTTTTTTTCATTTCTAAAAAAGACAAAAGAAAAAAATCAGTTGATACATAATCACTTTGTATAGTTCTGTGATTTCATAGGGCCATGCACTTCTCAAAGGAAATGCATCGTTTGGGGAGATCCACATTACATCACGTTTGATGGCCAATTCAGTAACAAAAACCATGGGTGAGACTGAGTGAAACTTCAAATTTAAACTGATAAAAAAGTGTTTACCACTGTTTAAAAAGATTGAAAATGTAACAACCTATGGGATGATCACCTTATACCAAAACAGCTGACTTGTGATTAATGCTGTTATTTCCTTTGATCTTGAAGATTTAAGATTAGGATTTTTCTGTTAAGATATATATGTTATATTAAACCTGTAGCTGTAAAGGTTTTTTTTTATTTAAATCAGCAGTCTTGAAACATATGTTGGCTCTTTGTTTGACTTTCTTTATGCAACAGCTCTGGACAACTAAATTTTGTTAGTGATATCCAGATCATGATTTAGCATGTTTAAAATAAACCGATATTTTAGTGTGACTCGAAATAAGGGTTATTGATAATGTGTGTTTGCAGCATCCCCAACGCTGACAGTACCAACGGTTAGCCAGCAGTGTATTGATGCAGCGGCTTCCACAGTTGTAGTGCGATGGGACAAAGTAACTGCCTCAAATGCAGCAGGTGGAACCATTTTGTGCACTCTCGCAGATGGAACTACCGTGAATACCACTGGTGGTACATTTGGAGTAGGCTCTCACACAGTCACTTGCAGCGTAACTAATTCTGGTGGCTGTTCAGGCTCGAATATCTTCACATTCAATGTAGCAGGTATTCAGGTTTCTTTTATTATTGTTTCAACCAGGTATGCCAACCCTTTGAAATCATTTTAAAGGATTGCGTTTGTAACTCTGACAAATATTTTTAGTCATTTTCCCTGTAGGCCCAATAGTGTGACCCTGCAGTAACTAACAATGACTGAAGAAAAAGACAACGTGAAAGCCTTCATAACTTTAATCAGTCTTTTACAGGTATGGCGGACACAATAGAAGGACGCTATTGAAGTGGTAAATATGGAGCCAACACAAAAGATTTTTACCCAATCCAAATAGCACCTTCCTATTGTATCCACCGTACTTCTAAGCAGATTTCATGGTGCTCTTGTCCTCCTAATGTAGCATAACTCAGGAAAAGGGGACACATTTACAATTTTCCAACTCCAGGGAAATCTGTTTTGTATTCTCTCCCCCGGAAAAGCCTTGAAGACAACCCAGCGCACCGCTGTCAGAACAACTATAAGTGTGATTCTCAGCATAGCAAAACAACATTATGCAAAATTTATTACTGTTTCTACAATGTTTAGCTTGCCCTGAAAATTAGGCAAACCCAACAGAAAAGCCTAAAAAGAGATGCATGTTTTCAGTGCTCGTGCTACTGCGATGAATAAGAACCAGGTCAGGGCACTCCAGCAGCGGCTAACTGCATACCAGCCAGCAAAACAAAGGCGCTTTACGTGACTTTCATTTACCATACTCTACATACAGGCTGTTCAATCCATAAGAAGAAAATAGTGCTAACTTGAAGTATGTTTAACTGAGTAAACTTGCTTATGTTTATTCTTATGTTTATTTCTTTCCTTGTGTTCCAATTCTAAAATTTGCACTGTCCATGTACCTCTTCAGTACACGAGATAAATATAGAAATCTATTAATATATAAATATAGTGAGCATA